TGGAGCAGCTACCCCCGAAGACAAAGCTAAAGAGTGAGATAGGACACCCTCGTATACTCTTTCTATGAGAAGATTACCATAAACCTTTTAACCCAATGGACTTATGGATAGGGCTGTGCATGGGTCAGGTTGGGTCAAATTTTTGTCCGACTCTATCCAACTTGATTTTTATAGGTCAGGTATTTTGACCCGACCCGCTTTAATTTGATCCAAGTCAGGTCTGACTTGGATTGGATTTTGTTGAACTAGTTCAGAACCAGTTTGGATCTGACCTGACTTGGTTTCTGAAGTGGGTCTGACTTGGTTTCTGAACTGGGGCAAATCTAACCTGACCCGTTTTTGACTTGGTTTTCTCACAAAATTTTGTCGAAATTTTTACGTTGCAAAAGACGAAAATTTCATCACAAAATTATTTTTTCGTCGAAATTTTTACAAAAAAATTTTTCTATTGAAATTTAGTTTCCGTCAACAGTTTTGACGAAAATGATTTCTTCCATCAAATGTTTTAAACGAAAAAAGAATTTTGTCAAAAAATTTGACAGAATGTTTTTCGTTCAAAATTTCGATGGGAATGTGTTCTGACGAAAATTTTGACGGAAATTATTTCGAGGGAAATGTTTCATTTGAAACTTTCGACGAAATTTAGATTCTCTAAAGAATTTTGACAAAATATTTTTTCGTCAAAATGTTTTTTTTGTCAAAAACATTTACGGAATTTTTTTATAGAAATATGTTTCGTTAAAAATTTTGATGGAAATTTTTTATCAAAAAACTTGACGAAAATATTTAGTTGAAAATTTTCGATGGAAATGTGTTTCGCTAAAAATTTCGACGAAAATTTATTTTTGTCCAAAAATGTAACGAAAATTTTTTCGTCGAAAACTTTCGCTGGAATTTGAAATCTGTAAAGAATTTTGATGAATTTTTTTGCCGTCAAAATTTTTTGATGACGAAAATGTTTCTGTCGAAAACTTCCGCCAAAATTTGAAATCTGTAAAGAATTTTGATGAAATTTTTTGCTGTCGATATTTTTTGCCGTCAAAATTTTTTGATGACGAAAATGTTTTCGTCGAAAACTTTTGCCAAAATTTGAAATCTGTAAAGAATTTTAATGAAATTTTTGCCATCGAAATTTTTTGCCGTCAAAATTTTTTGATGACAAAAGTATTTCCGTTGAGAACTTTTGCCGAAATTTGAAATATGTAAAGAATTTTAATGAAAATTTTTGCCGTCGAAATTTTTTGATAGAAATGTGTTTCGTCAAAATTTTCAATGGAAATTGTTTTGAGAAAAATGTTTCATTTGAAACTTTCGACGAAATTTAGATTCTCTAAAGAATTTAGACAAAATATTTTTTCTGTCAAAATTTCTTATCGAAATATTTTTGTCAAAAAATTTTACGAATTTTTTTTACAGAAATGTTTTCTGTTGAAAATTTTGATGGATATATTCTTTATCAAAAAACTTGACGAAAATATTTAGTCGAAAATTTTGGATAGAAATGTGTTTCGCTAAAAATTTCGATGAAATTTTTTTTTGTCAAAAAGTTTAACGAAAATGTTTCTGCGAAAACTTTCGCCGAAATTTGAAATCTGTAAAGAATTTGGATGAAATTTTTTTCCGTCAAAGAATTTCGATGAAAATGTGTTTCGTCGAAAGTTTTTTGAATATATTTTTTTGTGAAATATTTTAACGAAATTTAGATTCTGTAAAAAAATTTGACAAAAAAAATATTCCGTCAAATTTTTTTACCGATATGTTTTTAGTCACAAATTTTGATGAAAATATTTTTCGTCAAAAATTTTTGCGAAAATTTTTATGAAAATTTTTTTCATAAAAAATTTTAACGTAATTATTTTACGTTAAAACTTTTCTTTTAATGTAATTGTGATTTTTTTTTCACATAATGAGTATGGGTCAAGTTTTGGGTCAATGAGTCAATATTAAAACGAGTCAGGTCTAAAACTGACCCAAATAAAAGTGGGTCAGTATTTAAATCAGATCAAAAAATATGGATATTTATGGGCCAGGACAAGTGAACCAGTTTTTTTGCACACCCGGACATGCTATGACTTATGAGCACATGCTATGACTTATGAGCATGAGAGGCGAGGGCATCCCCAAGGACCCCAATTCTACTGTTCTGTGACTGAACTGAGTCTCCCAATCCTTAGATTTTAGTGCAGAGCCCATTGCTCCCACCTCTGCCTAGCAAACTTTATAAAATAACGAATAAGATTACTTGTTACCAAATAGTTATTGGGAAAAATTTTATAAATGGACTATAAACGATCAAATGTTAGATAACCATATATGGATGGTGTAATTCCATATGTAACTGCAAAATAATAATAATAATAATAATAAGTAAAAAATTTGTTATCAATTCATTCATACTTACATTCATAAAAAAATAATTCATTCTATGCAGCATCTTTCTAAAATAATTTATTTTCGATTTTATTAAGTTCTTGAGAACACCAAAAATATTAATAGTTTAATATTGTATTTAGTTATATTAGACCCATCATCTTTATTATATTGAATTTGCTATTCTATTTTGTGTTATATCAATTGAATTAGCAAAATTGAATGTTATATTTTCGTCATCATATCAATTGCTATTTTATTTTGTGTTATAATCTAATACTAGTACTTTATTTATTGTTATGTTAAAAGTGTAAGCAATCGAGTATGGAATAAAGATGATTTAGTAGATTACCAAAAAAAAATATAGATGATTTAGTAAAAGTTGAAACTTATAACATTAGTTTTGTTAACGAGAAAAATGTGTGTACTTTTAAAGGACGCACACTTAGATCATTTTAAGAGAGATGTAAATACAAAAAGGTGTGAGTCACATTGGAAAAAAAAATAAAGACAAAAAAATAAAAGTATAGGTTTCATTTTTTTATGTCTACCTCTTTCTTGAAATGACCTAATAATGTCCCTTAAAAAAAAGACACATTTTTTCCTTTATTAATTAAGAGGTTTGCATTTATCATTTAACATGACACAACAAAATTTTTTACACACACAATATTTTGTGAGGTCCACACTTTTTGAAGCAAAAAAAGAAAAAATTACGGCATGCAAAACGAATCTTTATAATATTACACAATTAATTTTCTTACAACATAACTCTTATAAAACCCGTTAAGTAATGTGCATATCAATTGAGCTACAAGCGTGCTGGTGCTTATGCCTGTACTTTGTAATGATGCTTAGCATCATTCTCTTTATTATTTCCAACTTTCTTTTCACACAAGTCTTTATTTTTAATAGAAAAAGGTTTTTTATTTATTTTCACTACCGCGGCTTACATACCATGGTTGATAGAAGGTATCATTCGTTTCCAGAAGATACACGGAACACTGAAACAATCACTTCTAAAATAACTTATTCACGCATAAATTGGTTTTCTTGATTATAATCAAGAGTAAACACATTTTTTTGTCCTTGGCAATATCTACGAAATCTTTTTTAGTTCCTGACAATAAAAAAAGACCAAATTGGTCTCTAAAATTATGAAAAAAGGGCCATGTTAGTCCTTATGTCCACTCCTTCGTCACTAACGTAGCCCTTTTTACATACTGTTAGGGATCAATTTGGTCCTTTTTTATTGCCAGGGACTAAAAAGGATTTCGTAGATATTGCCAGGGACCAAAAAAGGTGTTTACTCTATAATCAAATTTCCTTAAAAAAATCGATTATCCATATATCCATATTTTACATGTCTTTCCAACAATCAAGGGTGTGCATGACAACCTTTTCAGAATTAATTTTTTTGTAATTTCTGTTCTGAGGAACAGAAATAGATAAGAAACTCGTTTGGTAAAATCGATTTATTTTTTTATTCTCGGGATGAACCAGTATAATTTTTGTGCTGGGGAACAGAAAAAAGAATCAATTTTTTTTGTTTTTTTTTGTTCCCGGGCACAAAATGAGAAACACTTATCCCTCTCAATCACTCTCTACCATCGTACCACTAGTGTCGTCGTCACCACCACGATGCCACCACTACAACTACCACCATCACCACCACCACAACTACCGCCGCCGCCGCCACCACCACCATCACCGTCACCACCATCAACCACCACCACCATCATCGCAACCACCGCCACCATCGCCATCACACGCAATTGCCACCACCCCCATCGTCATCATTACCACCACCACGACGCCACCACTACCATCACCACCACACCACCAACCACCACTACTATTGTCGCAGCCACTATCATTACCACCACCGTCGTCGCTGCCGCCACCACCAAACACCACCACCATCGTCAGCCATTACCGTCACCACCACCACCATCGCCACCATTACACCACCCTCGCCACTACCATCACCACGCCATTGCCACGATTACCACCTCCGCCATCACCACCGTCACCGCCGCAGCCACTGCCACCACCACCACCATAATGCCATCACAACCACCGCCACCATGCCACTGCTACCATTGTTGCCGCCACCAACCACCATACCCACCACCATTGTCGCAATCACTACCGTCACCTCCACCACCAACATCCCTACCACTACCACCGTCGCTGCCACCATTACCACCGCTATCGTCGCATCCACTGCCGTCACTACCACCACCACTATCTTCACCACGTCACTACCACCACCACTACCGTACCACAGCCGCCGCCACCACCCAACCACTCCATGTGGAAAGGAAAGTGATGATCCAAATTTTTTTTATATTTAATAAGAATTATTTTTTATTATATTATTTATTGTGTTATCAAACACAATTTTCATTCTCGGAATAAAAAAAGAACATGTTATCAAACACATTTTTTTTCTCATAAACTGTTCCATGACACAGAAATAGAAAAGAATTGTTTCTTCTCAGAAACAATGTTAGGGAATAGAATGGTTGTCATACACACCCTAAATCGTGAGATATATAAATATATATGATAGATCAACAAATAAATAAAAAACGAAATTGTCATATTTTTTATGTGGTGGGTTGAATTTGTAACACAAACATTATCATTACACAATTAAGAAACCAGAAAACTGTATTGCTTTAAGTGACTATAAATGTTACAAAATATTTCCACATAAAAGTAGAATGCCCACAATACTAACGTGTTAAAGAAGATAGTAAAGATTTATGTCACGAGATTCAGATTTGGCACTCTTTCTGAATAAGTTTATCATCCAAACTTACCAACTACATTCAATTCAAGCATCAAAGGTAAGTTAGCAAGGACAATACAGCTTGATGTCCCCAATACTCCAAGCCACTGGCATTCAGCCAGAGAGAGAGAACTGCAGCAACTTCCACAGATGCAAAGGCTAATTAATTGGTAAGCATAATACAACGTCAAACAAAGCAAAGCATAGCAAAGCTCACTCCCACAACACCAAATAATTCCTTCTTAGAAGCACAATGGCTAAAACAACACTTACAAACACCCTGCAAATGCTTACAATCCCTCATATTGCACATAAAATAATTTTGCTGTAGAGTTTCCACACAAGAAATGTAATCTTCTATCATAACCATAAAATCAAATCTCCAAGTCTCTTTGACCAAGCTATTTTCTGCACAATAGCTATGTATGATGGTTCTCATGTGTCATATTACTGCTCGCTCCACCCACACGATTTGGTTCCCCCACCCTGGCAGCCATAGCAAGAACTTCAGGGGACATTTCCCAGTTTCCACTTTTTCTTCCCCAGCTAGACCTCCGCATTCCACCACGGTCACCTGTGTCATCAACTGTTGTCCTAATTTCAGGAGACAATTCACCATCCTTTATACTCACGCGGTCATTGTTTAACTGAACTTCAGAATCATCAATTCCAGCCCCCATGTCCCACACTGTTTTCCTCCCCATCTCTATGTCCTCCCCAGTTTTTCCCATCCTACGATTCATAAAGCCTCCACCCACTGATCGAGCAGGTAATGCTGGTTCATTTGGCACCATTGCCCTGAAATTGTTCTTTGATGGGGGAATGCTGGTGCAGAATATCTCTTTGAAATTATTCAGCACTCCTTTGTTATATGGGTTGTCTCGCCGATCATATCGGTACCTGAAGTTCTCATACGTAGTCTGCAAGAGTAATGGAACAAATATCAAGTTGAATATATACATTCGAAAAGCTACTTTATTTTTGAAGTTGTTAAAAAATAACAGCAATTACCTGATTTGTACTTATCAGATATAAATGGAAGGAAGTGAGGCCTCCTACAAACCACATTGATATGAAGGTATAAATTATTAACACTATGGAGGCCGGAGTTTTGATCAATGCCTTCCAAATTGTAGTCTCCTCTGAATCCATAATTCTTCTAACGTAGACCCAGCAAAATGCAAAAACATATATACAAAGCAGCGTAGTTGAGAAGACAAACATGAAGAAGAACCGATAATTACGCTGCATAAAAATTGTGAAATCACTCAGATACATAACTTCAAGAATGGCATGTAGCAAATGATAACTGAAAAGTAATTTGAACAAAAAATTATATTTTTAATAAAAATGAACTATTCATCATGAAAGAAGACAAATCTAAGCATGATAAATTCTCAAATTCAAACAGAAAAGAAAACTACATTTAAGCCTTACATTAAGGAACCAAACAAACAGATACCCTCATTTTCCTGAATAGATAGTGCAATTCCCACAACAAATCCAGGAGCACCAATGAGAAGCAAAATGGAGGAAAAAAATCAATTGTCTGAATTCAGTTCCGTTTAAAACTTGTTTGAAATCTTTTCCATTAATAGAAGAGTTACGTTACAAATGATATATTCTTTTGGGTCCATTATAGATACACAATTGAAGTAGCATTTCTCCTTCCAACTATTGATAAATCATATCTCACTTGATCCCAATCAAAACTGGTCTGAACAAAAGATTATGAAAATTCACCTAAATTCACTATAAAATATTTGTTATACCATATTATCAGTTTACGAAGCACAAATCATAAAAGATGTAATTGAAGGGAAATTTCCATCACACCTCAATGACGTGAAAAGACACAGTCATTAAGCTAAAATTTAAAAGTTAGATTGTTCTAGAACTTCAAATTATTATGAATTACCAACTATAATAAACTAGAAACTAAAATTAACTTAAAATAGTAACAATTTCCTGAAGAAGAATTTTTCAGTTGACCAAAGGAACCTGACTTATATTTTTTGTAATTTGATAAATTTATAAAGCATGCTAATTTTCTCAGCAGAACCAATGCACAAGATATGAACCATTTGAACAAGTTCAAAGATGGACTAAAAAGTAAAAACCATCTCTTTCAAAACTAATCGAAACTACTCACTCCAAATACCATACCAGCCTTTCACTTGACCTTGGAATGCGGTCAACTTCCGCTTCCCCTAAAACTTTTCTTCACCTAAAAAGAAAAATGAAAAACTTGGCAGACAAAAGATCCAACTTACCGGCCCAATACACTGCCCTACCCAAGGGCAGTGATGATCAAACCGTTCTACACAGTTATTACAGATCGAGCAGTGCGAGCATCGGGGAGGCCTGTAGAGCATGCAAGTATCACAATACTTGACCTTAACAGTGATACCATTGACTTCAACCTCCTTAATGCGAGGCAACCGTAATTGAGGAGTCTGACCAGCACCTACACTATTATCAAAACATTCTAGCTCTGGAGGATGTGCATTGCGTGGAATTATGCCAGGATCTCGGCCAGATATTAACACAAGAAGAACCAAGACCTGAAAAGACAGTAGCATCGGCAAAGGGTTTGAAAGAATATCTTTTGGTGTGCATAGCACAGCAAATTGGGGAATTAATTGCTCCACCTTTTTACGAAAAAAATCAACAAACAATAATTTAGCAATAAATAAAAAAGTTAATTGCAGTAAATTTTTTTTATCATTTTGGCAACTAGTAAGCCAAAATCAAGATAATTAAATCCCGTACATGTACAATTTTCAACCAAAAACAAAAACCACCTTCCAAACTAATTTGCAAATGATACAAGCTAGTTTAGTCCTTCAAAAACTAAATTTCTTTCTAGCCTCAAAAAATTTGATTTTGAAATGTGCCGACCAATGATACACAGATAGTCCACCCAAATGTGAATCAAACAAAGATGAAAAAAGCGTAACCCAACTGTATCATCGCAAACTACTTTGCATTACATAAAGTGAGTATCATATGAGCCAATGTCATTAATCCCGTAAGACCTACTCACTTTGACACCTAAAGCCTATAGTTACAATTTGCCAAACACTCAAATCAAGTATAACCATGTACGCATACTATGGTATTACCAATTACAGTTGAAGTTATATTCAGGATTTTGCCGCATTTATGGTCTACCACCATAAGACTGGGCAGTTTGACAGATTGAACACAATGCTATTTGATATCTAGATTGAACACAATATTATATTCACCAAATAGATTACGAACGTTAAAAATGAGCCTAAAATGTCAACCAGATGCCCTCTTAGCCATTAAATTATAAGGTGTTGGTAACAGATAACTCAACCAAGTCATATGGAAGTAGATCAACAAATCCTACTGCCACATGGTCAAAAGTCACATGTCAAAGCAAGATCCGCAAACACAATACTACACAAATATTCTCAAGGGTATCTCCGAATATGCACCCACAAGTACTAAGAGGATAAAGAAGCCAACTATGAACATGCCTTTCTAAAAGGCCTTTCCTCTCCTCTATCACCTTTCTTCTCTGCAATTTGCATCAGTCTCCCATTCATATTTTTTATACATACACACTCCAAAGTTTCTTCAAATCTCCATATTTTTCAGGTATTTTATTGAAACAGAAGATCGTATGCTGAAACCCCTCTTGCTTTTGTTTAATTCTATTCATTTTTCTTCTAGCTTAGACAAGTGGATTTGTCCCATGGGCTCATTCCAGGTTGTATTTCATTAATAAGTTAGCTAAATTAGCTGACTTCAATTGTGTGAGTGTGTGCGAGACACACACACACACACACACACAGAGGGAGTTTCAATGTAGAGCAATGCTTCAATGCAAATGAACAACGTACAGGGAAAGAAAATTTTTCTTGTACATGTACATGCGAGAAAAAGACTCACGTAAACTGTGGAGACAACAGCAACAGCCATTATGGTTATCCCCCAGTGGTCAGAAAAAGCATCCATCAGTTTTCTGGCAACAAAGACACAGAAAAATGCAACAGGAGCAACAATAAGGAAAATTGTCAGTGCCAGTGATCTCACATCTGGTCCAAATATAAACCTGCCCTGAAGGAAAAATTTCTGCAAGAAATGGATGAAAACAATGAATAAGCATCACCGTAGTTATAAAATGGCTAGTTACTGCAACAGATTTCAAATAACAACGCACCAATTATACTAACATTTTTCTATTCTTTATAACGCTGTATAACAAATAAATTATAAAATGAAAGTTGGACGGTAAGTAAGTCAAGGCTCTCCTCCACACAGGCTAGTCAAGACTCTACAATTCATCAGATACCAACGAAAGGAAAGGCAGATGAAGGGGACAATGTTTGTCAGTTGTACTAACTAATAACTCCAGTATGTCCAAAGCAAGTAAAGCTTTCAAACTATCTCAGTGACAGTTAAAAAGCAACAGAAAAGGTCAATATCTTCTTCTAACATTGTATTCGAAACAAATCAGCTTAAATCTAACACATCAATCAGATAAACAAAACCAATTTCTGTGATGGTTTCTGGACTACAAATACCCACAAAGAATATGCATCCTCTCATAAATCAAGCAACAGGCGTCCAAAAATTCATTGGCTGAGAAAATCCATCCATTTTCCTTGTAACATTATTTCTCACGCTCAGCACATAACCCTATCACCTATAACCCCTTCAATGAAAACCCAATACCAGTATACAGTAAAAGTACAAAAAAAAAAAAAAAAAAAAAAAAAAAAAAAATCAATAATAGAAAAGCTACCAAATATTTAGACGCATAATAAGCACTTGAAAAAAAACGAAACTTTTTCTGAGAGCAGAATTTTGACGCACCTAGTAATGAATTCGATAAGCAATGAAGAAAAAAGTGAAACACAAAACCAAAAAAACGAAATCCAGAACCAGAACTCACATTACTGCCCTTCCAGGCTTGGTAAACCCGCAAATCACCGGATCCTGAACCCGGATCGGAGCGCTGGGGCGGAGGCACCACGTACATATCGTAGAGGCACAAGTTTTCACAATCGTTCTCAGTTCAAATACCCTCAGAAATACAGCACCCGAAATGGGAAAGAGAAAAGGTGAAAGCTTGAAGACTCTCTAAAGTTCGAAATTGAGAGCCATAGGCGAATTCGGCGACCCTTTTGGCCAAAGTTTCCGGCGAGCTCAACGGGTCGGGCCGGTTCGGCGACAAGGCATGAGGGGTGGGTTGGGAGGTAACACAAGGTGCTGCAGTGCAATGCAATGCAAGCAAAAGAGTTTTCTTTTCCCCCTCTCTCTCTCTGTGGTGATTGTTATTATGTGAACTGGTTTTTGGTTATTAGCAATAGCAGGGGATTGATTATCTTTTGGATAATTACTGTGTCACTGTATTATGTTAGACGTGTATCTCTGTGCTTTACAGCCTCATAGAAAAAATAATGTGCCTTGTTTTCATTGGATGTTAATGTGACAAGGGCCCACCCATTGTGGTGTGGGTCATCGATTTTCGTTTTTTAAAAAATTGAAATCTATGTTAAATGAAAAGTACTACGTGATTACCTAACGTGCATCTTTTTCTTAAAATGGTAAATTTTTATTTCATTTGAATTCCTATTTTTATTTCTGTCCTAAACTTTTACCCCTTTAAAAAGGATATAGATACTTCATGCATCGATATAGAAGAGAAGGGAGTGTTTTTTTTTTTTAGAAAATAAACCTTTCCAACAGGTACTATAAAATATAAAATTGTGTGTCACTCTTTTGTTGTTATTTTTTTTTTTAAATATCATTAATTTCTTTTGACGTGACAAAATCATATAATCATACTAAATGACAGGATTCTTAAAAAAAAAAATCACCGAATATATTTTTTTTCTCCTCACTTATAGGAGTCACTTATATGTAATAAATTTAAAATTTCGTTACGCACAATGTTACGCACAAATAATATTACGCACAATATTACGACCACATCTTAATTGTTGATTTCCGTTAATCAACGGTTATCATTTTTCAAATCAAACTCATTATTTAATTATTAATTCGTAATAAATGATAACCATTGATTAGCAAAAATCAACGGTTAAGATGTGATCATAACATTGTGTGTAATATTATTTGTGTGTCACAATATCCTATCTCATTAAATTATAAATTTTTAAATACAGTGTCTTAAATATGTACTCCGCTGATTGTCTTAAATATGTAGTTTTTTTTCTCCTAATTGTAAATATTTCATGTTTAAAATAATATTGAATGAACCATCAATCATGCTCCAATCGGACATCACATTCTCGTCATTTGTTTAGAATTGCACAGCACCATGTATTTAGTATTTACAGTACCAATGGGTGCAGCTCAGTTGGTAACTTGGCGCTGAGTTAGTGGGGTTGGATATGTGTTCGATTCCCGCTGAATGCATTTTTTGGGAGGGGGCTGAACCTTTAGCCATTACTGTTCCCATGCACTCCGGATTAGTCCCATAGCCGGCTCAAAGAGTCGAAGCTCGTGGGAATACCGGAGGGAGCCAACTCGTCTCAAAGAGATAATTAGGGTTGGGTAACTCCAAAAAAAAAAAAAGTATTTACAGTTAAGTTTTTTTTTTATACATAATTTACAGTTAACTTTTTTGGTAATCATTTACAGTTATCTTTAAACGGAAAGGTTATAGTTACTACTTCTTTTTCTTACTACTTTTTACTACTAAATCGTAACCGTTAATTTCCGTCAATGTAAGGTTGTAATTTATTGGGAATTAATAATTAATTAATAAGTATCACCCAATAAATTCAAACCGTTACATTGACAGAAATCAACGGTTACGATTTAATGTAAGAAAAAAAAATAGTAACTATAACCTCTCTCATCTTTAAATATAGATAAAATAGCAAAAATATAAATTAAAAGTAATTTTTTATAAAAATTAATTAAAATTATATTAAAAGAAATATACAAGTATTTAAAATTAAATTTTTAAAAATGTTTAAAATATAATTAATAATTTTTGTTTTTTTAGTAATTTACGAGCATTTTATTACCCTTAATGTTAATTGGAAAATTGAATATTGACCAAAAAATTAATTTTATTTTATTCAAAAAAAAACTCATTAGACATATGTTATAAAATAGAAAAAATACATAATAAGAAAAATAAAAGTTATCTGATTTTAAGAACAAAATTTCAAATTTATTATATATAAGTGACTCCCATAAGTGAGGAGAAAAAGATATTTTGAGAGATTCTTTTTAAGAATCTTGTCATTTAACACGATTATATGATTTTTTCACGTGAAAAGATTACAATTAATGATTTTAATGGTAATAATTTTATCTCTTTCTATTTTGATAATTTTTCTCTCTCATGTTTTATTTTAGGGATAGAATATTGTGACACACAAATAATGTTAGGCATAATGTTACGACCACATTTTAACCGTTGATTTTCGGCAATCAATGATTATCATTTATTGCGAATTAATAATTAATTAATGAGTTTGATTTGAAAAATGATAACCGTTGATTGACAGAAATCAACGGTTAAGATGTGATCGTAATATTGTGCGTAACATTATTTGTGTCTCAGAATATAGCCACTAAATTACTGGTCCACTACACGTGCCCCGAACAATTGCGGACAGTAATAAAATTTCATTTATGTATGTTTTATTCATTTTTCCAATATGGTAAAGAAAAAAACAGAAAAAGCATGGACACTGTTTGTTAAGAGAAGTTTTAGCATAAAAGGAGGACAATTGTTAGAGACAAATTTTCCTATGCCCGTATTAATTTTTTATGGGTATCTATATCTAATTGTTAGTCCGACTTAAAGTAATTTTTTATGTATAATAGTACATATATTTTTTTAATTTTTATTATTCGTAATTAATTTTATCTCTTTTTTCTCATATTTATATTTTATTAATAATACTACCTCACACAACATGAGTTAATATGATTGGTATTGATATGCATCAAATACTATATTTAATTTAATAAATTTTCAATTATTTATTTTGAGATTAATAATTGATAAATATTTAATAATTGACCTTAGACCCAATTATCGCAACAACTCTTATAAATGTCATAACAAAAATTGTGGCCATTAAAAAGGAATTGACCTTTTGCCCTAATATGAAATATTACTTATTTTCACTTTTCAAGGAAAAGAAATCATAAGATGATTTATCATTGATTAATTGTAAATTTCTCATGGCCTGATTAAGTGTATGTTTAGCTTAACTTAATCCTTTTACCAAAAATGAGTCTGTCCATTCTCAACTACCCTGCATTAATATATAATATATCCCAGCTAACATGTAAACAGCTATGATGGCATCCTTAGTCCACTTTCATGCCCATCAATGATGCACCTGCTGCTAATTAACATGTTCCTTGCCTTGGAATCCTAATAAGGGTCAAAAAAATGGCCTTTCACTTTGCTATTAAAATAAGGGCGAAAACACATGTTTAATCAATCAAAAATATAGTGGGTCCAATCAATCGTGTTTCGTTTGATACTTTTCTTTTCTTAGTTCACAATCTGAAGGAATTAACTTGGGTTACTTACTGCGAGCAGTTGATGACTCGTTGCTTTTTCTCTACATATTTTTATCTATTTAGGGGGCGTTTGGAAAGGCCGGATTTCCAAGAAATTGAATTTTTTAAAATTTTATATTTTTAAATATTATCGTAAGCTGAATGTAAAAATCATATTTTTAAAAATTGAGATTTTCGGACAAATAAAAATTTCTCCTGTACCAAACGCCCCCTTAGTGTATCTTTTAACAGGTTTAATATCTCTAATATTAAAATAATTTTATCTCTTATATATATATATATATATGATATTTATGTTTTTTTTTCTCTTTTATTCACATAATTCTATAGAGATTTTATATATTTTTATGTGTGTAAATGATAATTTTATTTTCAATAACATGAAAGTTGAGAAACATCAAACTCATCTTTAACTTTTCAATTTTCATGTTGTGTATGTGATGATATATTTGCTCTTACTAATTAAAACTTGTGAGTTCCAAGTATCTATTAAATTTTAACAGTAAATTAATGAATTTATTGGTACAGTAAATTTATCATATATCTTTCTCTTTTTCGTGAATAATGTCTAGACTTTTTCAAGAAATATCTTTGAAGCACCGACACTTCAAAAGTCTGATGTGTCTTGTCCGACACTCTCAGACACTCCGACACTCCCCGACACTCCAACACGTGTTATAGAAATTCAAAAAAATGTTCAAAAGTTAAGTTGCATTGAGTTTTTAGTTTCAATTATTAGATTCGTTGGATTACAATTACTATTTTATTGAGTTTAATATAAATATTTGAGATATCTTATGTTTCTTTGCAAAATTTATGAATATTATAAGTTTAGATACATTTTTTTGTTAAATTATTGAATATTAAATATAATATATACTAAATAAATTAAAAATATTATTTAATATCAAAACGTGTCTTAACGTGTCGAAATCTAACATTTTTTAAAATTAATGTGTCGGAGTGTCGTATCGTGTCACGTGTCAGTATCGGTGCTACATAGAGAAACATCATGTAGTTCTATTTTATTTTTTGAGGTGAGTCAATTTTTTAAATATTTCTATAAATTTTAATTCTTTGAATCGATTATGAGATTAATCTTGAGTTGGGATTCAAATATATTAGATGAATCTGAATCCATCCCTAACATTATTTCATGTAAAAGATACCTATAATTTATCCAAAATATATTGAGTGAAAATCGAATTCAAATTCTTGTTTTACCTACTGAGCTTGTATTGTCGATTAAACGATACTTATTAAATTTGTTATAGCACTTAATTTGCACAGTGAGCAAAAGTTTCTAAAACCAAAAGTGCATTGTTAAATCATAAGAACATGAGACATAAAGGTAAGTTTACCTCACAAAATATATGATAAAGTTATTATAAGTAGGAGTGTCAAAACGGGTGATACGACACGAATTTGACACAATATAAATACATCAATACGACCACGACATGAATTTTTATTCGTATCAAAATCTTCAACACGAACACGATACGATTTTTTGTGAGTTAATACGACCCGACACGAATAACATGTAAAATAGGAAGTCAAAACGGTAATTGACAAAAAGAATTAAAAAAAGGGTCGCAATTAAATTTTTTTAAAAATAATAGTAAAAAAATTAATTAAAAAAAATATGTGTCAACACGAATATGAATACATCAACACAACATATGACACATTTTTTACATGTCATTTTTCTCAACACGAACACGACACATTTTTTTTTGCAGGTAAACTCGAACACGAATTTTCTTG